TATAAACTCAGCAAGGAATAACAACAGCCTTCCTTACCCCACCTTCACGTGGCTGGCTCCTCCTCATTCAGATCTGAACTCAAATATCATCTCCCCAAACAGATCTTTCTTGACCACCTTACTGAATGTAAAACCTGTTGACCAGGCCACCAGTCACATCTATTATCACTTTATCCTACTGTAATGACATCATCATTGTCTGATATAACTATATGTACACTATATATACATTATATATATACATATATTCTTATTTATTGTCTGTCTCACATTGCTATACACACAAATGTAGGTAAATGCCACGATGGCCATGTCCCCCTATAGCTTAGTAAAACCACGGGAGCAGCACAGGAATTCAGGAAATGTTTACTGAGTGTATGAACTGAGTCGTGTTCCTTCAAAATTCACGTGTTGCAGTCCTAACTCCCAGGATTTTGGAAGGTGCCTGTATTTGGACATAGAGTCTTTAATGAGCTAATTAAGTTAAACTGAGGTCATTAGGGTCAGTCCTAATCCAGGCTTTCCGGTGTCCCTATCAGAAGAGATTAGGACATACAAAGAGACACACCAGGGCTGTGCCCACAGAGGAAAAGTTGGCGTGAGGCCACAATTGGAAGAAGTCCATCTGCAAGCCAAGGACAGAAGCCTCGGGGGGAAAACAATCCTGTTAACCTTGATCTTGGACTTCTAGTTCCCAGAACTGTGAAAAAATAATGGCTGTTGTTTAAACCCCGCCCCCCATCCCAATCTGTGATATCGTGTTATGGCATTCCTAGTGAACTAACACACCAAGCGGAGAAATAGGATTCAGAAGAAAAGAAGGAAATTTGGCCAAGCAGTATGGACTTCCCTGGAGATAAACTCTACAAAAGCATTTGAGTTTAGACAGTGTAAGCCCATAAGGAAATGAACTAGAAGGGAAGGAACAGAAGCTTCAACCCTTATACCTGAATAGAAAGACAGCCCGACCACGTGTGCCAGCCCCCTCTGCTGCCTTCCCCAGGGCTGGGAAAGGGAACAGATGTTATGGGTTCTAGATGCATACGCCCGGAACCTGCTCGAACACGTGGCCCCGCAGTAGATGGTCTTCAACTTGGAACTGTGTCGGTACCTGTGTGGGTGAAGCACTCAGTTTTGAACCTAGGGATCTTTTTGCAGAGGCTCCCGGACAGGTTGGCCTGTAGGAAAACAGTCTAGTTTTTATAAGCCAAGTTCATAGAGAAACTCCGACTGGCTTCTCACCAAACTGAGTTTGTGGAGCTCGATTTGGATCGAATGTGGTTTAGAAAAATAAATACACTTGTCATTTATTAAACTCTGAGTATCACTGAGGTGGTCATGACTGTTACAATAATAACAGCCCACACGGGGGTCCTCCGAGACTCTCTCCTGGCTTTCTTCTGCTTACTCTCCAGCAGGCGCTGAAGCCACTTAAGCAGCTCTCATAGGTCCAGGGATGGGACAAGGAGTGAATGAAACGTGAACAGAAAGATCAGTCTGTGACAGAAACCAACCTAGATGAAAAGCCTCGATCGCTAGAGGCTTCCCCAATTCACTCCTCTGCAGAAGCTGGAAGAACACATGAAATACGGAAATGGACTTGCCTCTGGGCATAAAACATGCATGTCTTCTGTGGCTTCCAGGCGGGGAGCAAAAGGGATGTGGGGAGGACCGGAGGCCACTCCATTCCGCTCGTCAGCCATGACCAGTCTACACCTCATCTCACTCAATGGTTGTGGGTGGCACAGAGCAACCCCTTCACTATCCAGATTCGGTGACACTCCCCCACCCCCCAGGCTGGAGTAGTCAAGAAAATAGTTCTTATTGGATAAAGAGAAATTGTGCCATGGGGAAAATAGTTTTAAAAAAATAACAGAGGAGGAAGAGAGCTGGAGTGGGGAGGGAAGACCACCTGGAATTTGAAGATCTGGTGGAGAGTGGCCAAGGACACTGGGGCCCTAGGAGGAGCTGACTCAGAGCTGAGGAGAAGAACCTGAGCTGGGGCACTTGGGGAGGACAGTAATTTTTTTTTTAAGAAAAGAAATGAGTAACTCAGAATCTGAGCAAAAGCTGCTTTACAGACCACTGGCAGGTTCAAGATTCAGCACGAAGAGGGAGAGGTTCTAGTGTCATCTGTTCATGCCTTAGCCAGGTGACCTTGGAGAAGTTCACTTAACCTCTGAGCTTCAGATTCTCCATTGACGAAAAGAAGAAGAAGAAGAAGAAAATGGCATCAGCCGCCTACCTCGTGAGGCTGCACTGAGGACAGAATAAGAGGAAGAGACGCCGAAGAAGCCATGGTCGGTGATGCAGGTTCTAGAGTCAGACTTCCTCGCCCAGATCCCATCTCTGCACCTGACCGGCCGCGTGGCCTCGAGCACGGTACTTCACTTCTCCAAAGCTCATTTTGTCCTCTATGAAATGGTCGTCGTTGTGATAATAAAGTGAAAAAGGGGCCATGACAGATTTACACAATGTTTTTAGTATAGTAAGCATGGACCAACGGTTCATCATTATCATATTTAAAAGATGGTGGTTTGCTCTATCGAGCACTTCTACAATCTAGCAGGATGTCTTAGAAAAATAGGCAAAGGAATCCATAGTCCAGAATGAAGGGTACCAAGAGCTACACAGACTTATCCAAATTAAATTGGGGCAAAGGTGGACCTCAATCCATCCTGTACATCAGAACTTGGAGTATGAGGTAATTAATTATCTCTACCTATACCCACCTTCTCTGCCTGTAAGGTGGTTCCAGCTACTTGGAGGAAAACTGGCCTACGTTGTGGATGTGATAGTTTATTGTAAGAAGCAGCACCCCAAAATATCAGAAGGCTAGTTAGTCTTAAGGCTTTAGACACAGAAAATCCCCCAGCTCTTGGATATTTCCCTTTTATACAGCATCAGAGTCACAAGCATCAATCCAAAAAATGTCCCCCTTGTCCCAAAATAATTTCCTGTCTCCTACCAAGTATCGCCTCCCCGTACCTGTCCAGGGCACGCTGATACCTACAATAAGTCTCTCTCCTTATCCTCTGAAGCAGAACTTCCTGTGAAGCCTCCACAGCAAGGTGATAAAACAAAATAGCATATCTGGTAACATTACAGGATGATCGCCTATGACCGAGGCTCCATAACCTGGGTCAGCTACCTGTGAGCACAGAGAGAGGTGTCACCCATGCCTTAGATGGGCCTAGAGGGGTCTGGAGCCATGGCAAGGTAAGGCTCTGAGACCAGGTGCCAGGTTTGAAGATTAATTCAATCTTCTATTGCTGCCAGGGAGACAAGCATCAGAAGGAATCAGGATGTAGTTTGTTTGTCCTCTGACTTGTTCCCAAGTAAACCACCTTTTAGATGCCACCTGTGGCAATTCTCATGCTTCACACTTTCCATGTCTTCCTGGAGCCTTGAGGCCATTTTCATATCAGTATTTTAGAGCAAGACAGAATCTTTCTGATCCCTAGTCTCATCCGCCATAGAGGGAAATAATTTTGTTCTGCATACCTCAGAATTAAAACATTTGTGAAGTCAAACTTGAAACTCAACACAAATGAAAATCAGTGTGTGTGTGTGTGTGTGTGTGTGTGTGTGTGTGACTGGAAACTCTTTAAAAACTGTCAGGCCCTGTACAAATACTATCCCCACCCAGATATGAGCCCGTCAGAGGTGAGAGGGTGAGCTCTGAGCAGTGGGTCACTTAGGGAGAAGCTGGCTTCCAGCCATGCGGAGAACTGCACCAGGAGACACCCCATGGCTCCCTCTCGACCCCATGTGCCCCACACTGGTGTACCCCCAAATCACTCTGGCCAAGTTATAGCCTCAGTAAATTATAAGGCTGTGTCTTGGCGGCCATGCAGGTCCCAAACCGAGATCATTTCTGGGAACATTTGCTCTGTACGGAGCCCAGCACGATAGTTTCATTGCATCTAAAGTAGACAATTTCAGAATTCCTCGCTCTTCTTTATCGATTACCTGGTACTCGACCCCTTTACCTTTATCCCATGCTAATCCCTCTGCCTACTGCTGATTCTCTGATCAGAACCCAAATTTACCGTCGTCCAAACCCTTTCTAATGTCTGATCTGGAGCACGTAATTCTAGCTCAGGCTGTCAGCTCCTAGCATGTGGGGTGATTTTCATCACCGTTAGTGCAGACTCCCGGGGTGACAAGAAGGCGGCTGAAGGAGACCCCCGTGACAGGGTGAGTGGTGAGAAAGACCAAGGTCCCGATGGAGAAGGACAGGAGGAATGTGGTGTTGGTCTTCCATCCCCAAATATATCAAGCAGACACCTACTTAACCTTTGCCCCCTTCATAAGGTAGACACCTACGTAACCCTTGTTCCTCTCCATAAGGTAGACACCTACGTAACCCTGGCCCCCTTCCACAAGCCTGGGTAGAAAGGAGAGCCAGCTGACTCCCAAGGAACTCTGCCTCTCCCTTTCATCACCTCTTGACATTGGGATCCTGGTTCCCCAAAGCCTTAGATTTGACCCTCCTGTCCACTGGTTCAGACTTGAGAGAGGGGTCTTCATGCTCACGGACGTAGACTTAGAGAAGACTTCTTTCCTATCAGGAGGCTCTGGGATACACAGCAGCCAAGTTCGCTACGAACATCGGCCCTTCCTTAGTAAGTGGAATAAATCTCCACAAAGCCAGAGGGTTTCTAGGGCCCTAGGTCAGTCTTCCTCCTCCTAACCCTCATCTCTTCAGCTTCACGAGGCCCAGCTGTGATATGTAGGGGGGCTTCGCTTCCCCTGTTCACCCCATCCCAGAGTCCTTCTAGGAATCAGCTGGTCTTCCTTTTCTTATCACCTGTAGGTACAAACCCACGTTGTGGCCAAACACAGCAGGACTGATGCAAGACTCTGGGAAAGGGAAAGCTGCAGGTGTGTTTGCACTAGGAGGAGCGGCGACCCCCCACCCGCACGGTCACCCCCTCTCCCTCACCTTGGGAGGTATAAAGGCTCTCCACCACCCACCCAGCTACACTTCTGCAGCCATGAATCCTCTCCTGATCCTGGCCGTTGTGGGAGCTGCTGGTGAGTTCCGGGCGTGGCTTCAGGCCCCAGGCTTCCTCTCTCCGGGCAGAGATATGAGCCCCACCGCTCGTGCTGCCTGTCCTGTTTCTGAGACGCCGTCTGCCCTGCCCGCACCTTCCTTCCCATTCCTGGGCTCTTTTTAAGCCTCGCCTCTCTCGCCTTCTGCCTGACGCCTCTCCCGGCCCCATCGCTCATCCAGGCTGGAAACGGAGACAGGCGAAGGTGGTCCAGGAAACAAACCAGGAGACTTGAGGCTCAGCTCTGACAACTCCGGGCCGGCTCCGCCGTAGCTGTTTTTAAGCCCAGACCCACCTAGGGAGGCTGAGAGAACACTCATGCCAGAGTCCCACGTAGCCCTAGAAATGCTGACTTATTTGGCCTGGGGTGTATCCTGTGCACTGAATTTTTAAGCTGCCCAGGTAATGTTAAGTAAGCTTCCCAGGTGTCTACAGCCAAGGTTGAGAGCATCATCCTATCCTATTGGCCAATAACGGCGCCTACTTTGGTCCATGCCTGATGGGCCTGGGGCCGCCCTCCCTGGCCCCAGTGCAGAGATGCAGGCTGTGGGAGAAGCTGGCTACAGTCGGAGCTACACAGCCCGGAGACTTTCCTAGCCAGGCCGACCCGTCCTGACAATCCGGGGCTCCCAGGGCCGTGGGGAAGAGAGGAGTGAGGAGCGAGAGAGAGGGAAGCATCGGGTGGGTGAGAAAACCACATTCTGAGCACTGTGAGGGGGGTTCGTGGATCCTCGTCCTCTTGGTGCCCCAGGAGAGGTCTGGGCTGGAGCCCTGCAGGGTCCCTGGCTACGGGCCCCGCAGACACACAGAGACTAGGAGAACCACATCCACTGGGAGTGGCTAAGGATGGCAGTGCTTCCTCGCTGCCTGTCACTGCTGTGCTTGTCGAGGGATGCTCATTAGCACGATCCAGCCACAGCGCCTGGGGCTGAACTGGCTTTTCCCTCCACTCAAGTTGCTTTCTCCACTGATGACGACGACGACAAGATCGTGGGGGGCTACACCTGCAAGGAGGGCTCCGTCCCCTATCAGGTGTCCCTGAACTCTGGCTACCACTTCTGCGGAGGCTCCCTCATCAGTAACCAGTGGGTGGTGTCCGCCGCTCACTGCTACAAGTCGTAAGTGCTGGGCCCTGACCGCGGAGCCGAGGCCAGCCCTCTCGGAGGGCATGGCTCAGCCCAAGGGAGACCTGGAGTTGGGCGAGATGGGTGATGGAGAGGAGAAGTTGTGGGGTGAAGAGGGGCACACGTAGGAAGCCTCTCACACACACACACCCCAAAAATAGGTAAAACAGCAGGGGTTACAGGTCATAAAAGCAGAGAGAGACTCTTTGGGGTGTACGGCCTAACGGGAAAACAGGCAAGGACTTTGCACAAGTAACCTTCGCCAGGTGGATGCATGTAAAACCACCTAAGACATGTTCAAAAAATACCGATGCCTGGGTCCTATGCCAGAGCAATCGCTCCGGGTTTTCAGGAAGAGGGGTCTGGACGTGGGTGAGGTTGGTTTTGTGTTCTCCACCTCTGGTGAGTCTGCGCTATAGCGGACTGAGGATCTCTGCCTGGACCAAGGGTCCTCAGAGCTGCTCGGGCGTCAGAGTCACCTGGAGGGCTCCCTGGTTCGGAGCAGCCCTGTCCCACCCCCAGAGGTTCTGATTCAGTAGGTCCGGGGTGGGAACTCAGATGTCCTACTTCTAACACGTTGCCAGGTGATGCTGCTGCTGCAGGTACGGGGGGCCACACCTTGAGACCCCCCAGATTCGGTCGCACAGAATGACCTTGCTTATCAGACCAGGAAGGGAGGAAGTGAAAGTCATGGCTGTCCTAGCAAAGTGACAGAGGACGAGGCATGCCCGTGTGACACCGGGGGTTGGGGGGATGGGAAAGGTAGCTAAAAAATAGCAGATGGGGGAACCATCGTCCCGCTCCACTACCACCAACCTGTGAAGCAGAGAGGTGCTCCAATCACTCCCGCACCGCCCCCCACCCCTCTACTGCCCCGGCTGTCGCCACGCCCCCACCCTGGGCGGAGGAGCCGGGAGCCCGGGGAAGGTGAGGATGCGGAGAAGAGCCCTCCCCACGTTTCCCTCCCGCCAGCCGCATCCAGGTGAGGCTGGGAGAGTACAACATCGAAGAGGTGGAGGGGAACGAGCAGTTCATCAACTCCGCCAAGGTCATCCGCCACCCCAGCTACAGCAGCCAGACCCTGGACAATGATATCATGCTGATCAAGCTGTCCTCGACGGCGACCCTCAACAGCCGGGTGTCCACCATCTCCCTGCCCAGCTCCTGCGCGTCCACCGGCACCCAGTGCCTCGTCTCCGGCTGGGGCAACACCCTGAGCTCTGGAAGTGAGTGGGGCCCTCGCGGCTGCAGCCTCCGACTTAGCATTCCCCGTAACCGAGGGTCCCCTTCCCCTTCGCTTCCGGTCTGCAGGTGACATCTAGCGCCCACTGCGCACGGGGTTCTGTGCTCCGCACCAGAGAGGTGCACAGTCTGCAGGCACGGACCCCGGAACGGAAAGGCAGGACCAGCATCGCACTTGCCATCTCTGTCTAGGGAGGGGTCCGCGATGGTCGTGCTGGGAACGAAGGCTCACGGCTCCTCACTGGGGTTTTACATTCTTGGGCTCCTCTCCTGGCCGCCCTCAGTGTTCAGCCCTGGGTTACCGTCCCCCGTCCTGGCCTGACCCCCATTTCTCTCTTCCTTCATCTCTTCCCACTTCTCACAGGCAACTACCCCGAGCTGCTGCAGTGCCTGAACGTGCCCGTGCTGAGCCAGGCCAAGTGCGAAGCCGCGTACCCTGGGCAGATCACCAGCAACATGTTCTGCGCTGGCTACCTGGAGGGGGGCAAGGACTCCTGCCAGGTGATTGTCTCCTTCGTGCACTGAGACCCGGGGAGTGGAATGCGAACCCCCAAGACTGCTATAGTCTATATGTGTGTAGTATATATGTATATATATGTACACATGTGTATACGCACATATATATTACACATATATATGTATATGTATTATGTATATATTACACATATATATAGTCTATAGCCAAAGGGCTATAGTCTCCCTTTCCTACAAACCTGTCCTACCTTCTTGCTCCCCAGGGCGACTCTGGTGGCCCCGTGGTCTGCAGCAATAAGCTCCAAGGAATCGTCTCCTGGGGCTATGGCTGCGCCCAGAAGAACAAGCCTGGCGTCTACACCAAAGTCTGCAAATTCGTGGACTGGATTAAGAAGACCGTGGCCAGCAACTAAAGCCCCCACCCCTGTCCCTCTGCCACCACTAGGCTAATAAAGTGACCTTGCTCCAACCGCCTGTGTGTGTGCCTGCTCCCTCCAGGCCCCGGCTCTGGGAAATAGCCTCCTACCTGAGGTTAGATGGGGTCCTGCCCCTTACAGAGGAGCAGGGCAACCCCGTCTAGGGA